AGCCAAAATCAAGAGTCAGGACACTCAACTGAACAAGACACCATGACATTATCAAATGTTCTATTTGTCAGCATGCCACAATCTTTTAAAACACTCCTCTCTATTTCCTTCAGCATGATTTTGTTTCTTGCCTAATTTATGTTAATTTAACTCATTTTATTTTACATCCTCACAGTTAAGCATCTACTTGAATGTACTAAATCCCAACAGTAACATTTAAAGACACCAGATATATCACAATTTCAATGTCATGAAATAAAATGGTTTCTTTTTACTTCAACTAAAAAGATCATGTTTTAATCACAATATCTGCTAGCACCAGACTAACCAGATCTGTGGTCTCAAAGTAGGTCTCAAAGTAGGTGATACTATTAGTAGTATTTAATAGATAAAATAATAAATCACTTATCATGTCCCAGGCACTATTCTAAACAAATATATTAACTTACCTAACCCTCACAATAACCCAGTAAAGGAGATAAAATTACTGCTTTACTTTACAAGTAGAGACACTGAAACATTAAGAGTTAGATGCCTGTTTTTTGTGTTTCAGTGGCTGAACCAATTCACATTGACAAAGACAGGATTTAAATGCTAACATCAGATTCTACCTTCTTAACCAGTAAACTATACTGTATATAATATGCATAGTAGTATAAGCATACAATTCACAAATAAATATTCATGTGTTAAAGATTCAAGCTCAAAGTGTTTTAAAACCATTTTATTTTGTTTTTTAACTGTTGAGGATACAAGATCAAAAGAATACAAAAATCAATGATATAGAAAACTCTAGAAGTCTTGCTTCTAAGAATACCCTTGTTATAATGACTTCTCCAATTCCAGAAGAACATTAAGAAAGGTAATCTTGTGAGCCATAATTACTCCTACAAACTAGGCAACTATGGAAAGAGTCTGTAGTATTTCTTGTCCTCATTTGGGACATCATATATTTTCTTGGAAAGCTGTTTAAAATAAAGAAGCAATATGGAAAACAATGTGGGGTTTCCTCAAAAAGTTACAGATAGAGTGGCGCCTGGGTGGCTCAGCTGGTTAAGTGCCCGACTCTTGATTTTGGCTCAGGTCCTGATCTCACAGCATGGATTTGAGCCCTGCATTGGGCCCTGTGTTAACAGCATGGAGGGTGCTTGGGATGCTCTCCCTAGCCCCCCACCCCACCCCTTCCTCACTCATGCACGCGCATACTCTGTTTCTCTCTCAAAATAAAAAACTTTTTTTTTTTAGGTTAAAAATAGAACCACCTTATGATCCTGCAACCAAACTACTGGATATTTATCCAAAGAACACAAAAACACTAATTCAAAGGGATACGTGCACCCCTATGTTTATAGCAGTCCAAGTGTCCACCAACTGATGATAAATGAATAAAGATGTAGTACATATACAAAATGGAATATTATTCAGTCATAAAAATGTGAAATCTTGCCTTTTGCAACGACATGGATGGAACCAGAGATTGTAATGCTAAATGAAATACATCACAGAGAAAGACAAATACCATATGATTTCACTCGTGGAATTTAGGAACAAAACAAACAAGCAAAGGAAAAAAATGACAGTCAAAGCAAGAAACAAGACTTTTAATTACAGAGAACGATCTGATGGCTACCAGAGGAGAGGGGGAAGGGGAGATGGGTTAAATAGGTGGTGGGGATCAAGGAGTGCACTTGTGATGAGCACGCGGTGATGTATGGAACTGCTAAATTACTGTAGTGTACACCTGAAACTAATAACATTGTTAACTAACTGGAATTAAAAAAAAAAAGTTAGAAAAAAATGAAAAAGCAATTCAATCATAATTCTCAAGACAAAATTTGATCCCAAGATGCAACCACACTTGAATATGCAGATATTCATGAAGAAACAATAATATTCAAGAAACCATTAAAAAAAAAAGAAAAGAAAAGAAAAGAAAAGAAAAGAAAAGAAAAGAAAAGAAAAAAAAGAAAAGAAAGGAAAAACAGATGTTGGCAAGGATGTGGAGAAAAAGGAACCCTCATATACTGTTGTTGGGAACGCAAACTGGTGCAGACACTGTGGAAAACAGTATGGAGGTTCCTCAAAAAATTAAAAAGAAAATTGCCATATGATCCAGTAAATATCAGGTATTTACCCAATGAATATGAAAATACTAATTCAAAAAGATATATATACCCCTATGTTTATGGCAGCATTATACACAATAGCCAAATTATGGAAGTAACCCAAGTGGTCCATCAAGAGATGAAAGGGTCATGATGATGCAACACACACACACACACACACACACACACACGCACACGCACGCACTGGAATACTATTCAGCCATAAAAAAGAATGAATCTTGCCATTTGCAATAAATAACATGGATGGAACTAAAAGATATAATAGTATGTGAAATAAGTCAAAGAAAGACAAATACCCATGATTTCACTCATGTGGAACTTAAAAAACAAAACAAGCAAAGGAAAAAAAAAGAGATAAACCAGAAAACAAAATGATGGTTACCAGAGGGGAGTCAGGAGGGATGGATGAAATTAATGAAGAGGATTAAGTATACATTTATTTATTTTTGCCCTTGAAACTTTCCAGTATTCGCTAGTCTTTTTTTGTTTTCATCTTTTATTTTTTTTAATTTACATCCAAATTAGTTAGCATATAGTGCAACAATGATTTCAGGACTAGATTCCTTAATGCCCCTTACCCATTTAGCCCATCCCCCCTCCCACACCCCCTTCAGTAACCCTCAGTTTGTTCTCCATATTTATGACTCTCTTCTGTTTTGTCCCCCTCCCTGTTTTTATATTAGTTTCCCTTCCCTTATGTTCATCTGTTTTGTCTCTTAAAGTCCTCATATGAGTGAAGTCGTATGATTTTTGTCTTTCTCTAATTTCACTTAGCATAATACCCTCCAGTTCCATCCATGTAGTTGCAAATGGCAAGATTTCATTCTTTTTGATTGCCGATAATATTCTGTGGTATACACACAAACACACCACATCTTCTTTACCCATTCATCCGTCGATGGACATTTGGGCTCTTTCCATACTTTGGCTATTGTTGATAGTGCTGCTATAAACATTGGGGTACATGTGTCCCTTCAAAACAGCACACCTGTATCCCCTGGATAAATACCTAGTAGTGCTATTGCTGGGTCGTAGGGTAGTTCTATTTTTAGTTTTTTGAGGAACCTCCATACTGTTTTCCAGAGTGGCTGCACCAGCTTGCATTCTCAAAGTGTACATCTTGATGAGCACTGAGTAATACATAGAATTGTTGATTCACTACATTATACACCTGAAACTAATATAACACTCTATATTTATTATACTGGAATCAAAATTTAAAAATAAAATATGGACAAATAAAGTTAATGAACAGTACAAGAGTTACTTAACATTGTAAAAAAACAATAGTAATCCTCTGAACACACATATCTAATGCTCTTTAACAAGCAATGCAAGAAAAGCCACCTAAGTGCATCTAAATACTCTTTACATAATGATATTCTAAGCATAAAACTCAGGTTTAGTTCTCATTTCATTGAGAATTCTCAATAGCTCCAGACGACAATTAATAAGGCTTTGGCAAAAAGGCATATGCCTAAGCAACACAAACAGCTTATTTTTAGAGCAGCCAAAAACTAATTTAACAAAGCGTTTATTTGTAAGTTTATTTATTTTTAGAGAGCACACAGGCAAGCAGGGGGCAGAGAGGGAGGGAGAGAATCCCAAGCAGGCTCCACACTGTCAGTGCAGAGACTGACACAGGGCTTGATTTCACGAACAGTGAGATCACAACCTGAGCCAAGATTAAGAGACACTTCATCGACTAAGCCACGCAGGTTTCTTTTGAGAAAGGGTTTATAATAGCAATTTCAAAGTCCTCAGTTATTTTATAAAATATTCTTTTCAAAAATGTTTGTCTTGGGGCGCCTGGGTGGCTCAGTCAGTTGAGTGTCCGACTTCGGCTCAGGTCATGATCTCGTGGTCTATTGAGTTGAGACCGTGTCTGTGGTGCTGACAACTCTCAGAACCTGGAGCCCTCCCGGGTCGTGTCTCCTCTCTCTCTGCCCCTCCCCAGCTCATGCTCTGTCTCTCTCTGCCAAAAATAAATAAACATTTAAAAAAAATTTTTTTTTAAAGTTTGTCTTCAAGATTTTTTTTAAATTTTTTTTTAATGTTTATTTATTTTTGAGACAGAGAGAGACAGAGCATGAACGGGGGAGGGTCAGAGAGGGGGAGACACAGACTCTGAAACAGGCTCCAGGCTTGAGCTGTTAGCACAGAGCCCGACGCAGGGCTCAAACTCACAGACCGCGAGATCATGACCTGAGCCGAAGTCGGACGCTTAACCAACTGAGCCACCCAGGCGCCCCAAGATTTAGGAAAAAAAAATTTTTTTGACCTAAAGTTAGTAATGAAACGGAATCAGTGGTTGGTCTGGTGGATGAAATTATTGTGAAAATAAAATTATACATATGAAAACAATATATAAACCTAAGACATTAGTAATAACAATGACAATGAAGAACTCAAGCGGGTAGGAAAAAAGTCTCAGCAAATAAATCAGATTTGAGGAAATGTTAGCCCTATGCTATTTAAGATGTTGCCAGAACTACATTGTAGAATATGCTATAATCCTGCCTTTTCAGACCTTTAAATCCTAGCAAAAGGATCCAAAAAGGTCACCATAGTTAATACATCAACAGTATGAAGTCAATAATCCTAGTTAAATTTAAGAGTTGTAAAAGATTAAACACAGAATGAATAAAAATGGAGAAAGAGGTTGAATAGGAATCAAGTTTAAGCATACTGATGTCTACCATTTTATAAATTACAGCGATTCAAGAAATACCATATAGAGCAGATAGTATTTCCTATAAGAATGAACTAGATATTCAATACTTAGCAAGTGATCAAAGGCTAAGGTAATTTTTAAAATTAAAAATATTTAATAAGTTGCTACACCTTGCCTCAAAAAGGTATTAATGTGTCTACCTTTGGTCCTGAAACTGGATGGATGTTATTTTTGGCAGATATAGGATGAGGAAAGGTATTCTGGAATGCAAATGCAGAGGAGACAGGATAACCAATCCCACAGGCTGGGTAAGTAAGTCTACCATCAACCTAAAAATAAGAACATAAAAAAGGTTAAGGAGGAGACATTAGTATTTGCCAATCCAGGAGGCATCAGCATCTGTTATAATAATTGAGTACTATCTTAGAGGCTAATCTTATCATGACACCAAAACTCTGCTTTATTACATAGCATGAGGCTAGGATACCTTAAGGCTTTTTAAAGAGTGGCTATACAAGCTTGACAAAGTCAACCATTGGATCTGGCTTTGAACGGAGTTCAAACAGCGGCCTCTCTAAACCTCTCTGAACACCTGGGTTCCCTACAGGCCTTCCATTCCTAAAAAAAGGGATGCTGGAAGGATGGAGTCACAGTTCAATAAGCCAATCAGATATAAAATAAAAATAATTTTCCACCAAAATGAGTATAAACAGCACAGTGCCTGACATGGGGCTTGAACTTACGAAGAGTGAGATCACGACCTAAGTCGAAGTCAGACACTAGCTGAGCCACCCACGGACCCCAAGACATGTTCTTACATGGACTACCTGACACAATAACTGGCTTTGTCAGTGATTTTCAATATGGTGACACCACCATTAACCAATGTTACGAAAACAGTTTATTTTTATAAGAGCGCAACTGAAACACAAATCTTAGGAAGCAATTACGTACATCAGTGCTTACATGACAAAAAATACCTTTTACAAAGTCATGAAGGTCAAGCCTGTCAAATTTTTTCAAGTTTGTCATTCAGCAGTGGGCACTTCTTTCTACACCTTTTTCTATTTAGCAAAAATCCATTCCTCTCTTTAAACATCAAGTACTATCTGATTAAGTACTACCTGATTTATTGGGATAGATTTAAACTTCAATTAAGTATTTACATTTTAAATCCTCTGCCAGTGCTCTCCAACCAAAAACTACCAGAAACGTATCTTTAGGTGACACCCTGGGTTTACTGCTCCTTGCAAACAATGGAGACTGCACACTGTGGGGAACCTAGTAAAAGGGATGTGGCAGTATGAAGGTGTTAAAGGGACTTATTTATTGGACTTATGTGTTAGGTGGTTTAAGGGAGAGTTTAATAAAGTGTGGCTTTGTTGTGGGTTGGATGCTATCTGTAAATAAGGATAACTGTGTGACTATCTGAAATAAACCTTGTAAGTCAGGAAGAATGTACTAAGGCCAAAACAATAATTGGTAACGAAGCAACAACCAACCACATTAGCCAGGATAGGAGAAAACTTGTGGTTTTGTGGCTTGGCAATGATTTTTTTAAAATTGTGGTCTGACAGGATTATGAGGTGGTCTTGTTTTTGTCTTGATCCGTCACAGTCACAAAGTGGCCTTGCCTGATGTTGATTTTCTGTTATATTGTTTGTTCAACAGGAGAGCCCCAATGCCTAGTTGTGAGTGCCAGGACAGCTCTCCTAGCAACACCGGGGCGTTGCTGATAGCAGCAAGCCAGCTCCCAGACGTAAGGAGCTGCTCTTCTGTTTCCCCTAATTTCTTGCAAGGAAAAAGCTCCTGGTACTGGGAGCTAGAAAGCTTATATTTCCTAACTAGTTCCTTCGGGAATCTAGAACTGACAAGCTTGATAAAAGGACACTTCTTTCTCTCTCTGCCCCCCCACCTCCTATTTTTCAAATAGAATTCAGTTTAGGCTCCATCCGTCACAGTTCCAAACTTGAGCCCAAAGCCTATTCTCCCTTCTTAAGGCCCCGTGAATACTGTAAGCTTTTCAGCACATGTGGCATTACTTTAGTTATGAGTGATTTCTATATGAATAAAATCTTAAAAAGAAGTGTGCCCTTGAAAAATAGCCTCTTTGCTAAGAGCAAGTATACCTATGTCACACTTCCAATAACTATAGGACTAGTAACTGCAGGACTCTAATAATAACTGTGCTAATAACTGTAGGACTCTTTAAAGTTTAAATCCCATGTCTTACTGTTCTTATAATTTGCATACCTGAAATATGCATATTAGTACCGGCACCTGAAGTCATGGAAACTTCCTCCCAGTCTGGGAATATTTTTGTTTTAGGAAATGTACTAAGACCACTCACATCGGGGCGCCTGGGTGGCGCAGTCGGTTAAGCGTCCGACTTCAGCCAGGTCACGATCTCGCGGTCCGTGAGTTCGAGCCCCGCGTCAGGCTCTGGGCTGATGGCTCAGTGCCTGGAGCCTGTTTCCGATTCTGTGTCTCCCTCTCTCTATGCCCCTCCCCCGTTCATGCTCTGTCTCTCTCTGTCCCAAAAATAAATAAACGTTGAAAAAAAAAAAAATTTTTTAAAAAAAAGACCACTCACATCATTTTTTTTTTAAGTTTATTTATTTGAGAGAGAAAGAGAGAGAGAGAGAGAGCGCGCGCGTGCGCACAAACGGGAGAGGGAAAGAGAATCCCAAGCAGATTCTGCAGCCCCACACATATCTCGAACTCACGAACTGTGAGACCATAACCTGAGCCAAAATCAAGAGTCAGATGCTTAACCGACTGAGCCATCCAGACACCCCAACGACCGCTCACACCTTAGTTTAAATCTTACCACATTAGAATTAGGAGAAATCCCACTTCTGATTGCGTTGCTGCTCGAATGTACAGGCGGAGTGGTGGATGGTCCCAATACATCTTGCTTTCTCACTAGTTGATTTTCATTTAGTTCTTTATTTAACCATGTGATTACTTAAATAAAAGAACAAAACAAGATAAAGAATTTTGATTATTTTTTTCTAATTACTTTAAACATTTAAAAATTATACTGAGATTTTTAAAATGTTAAGTCTTTAAGATTACCTTATATCACAGGAGACTACAGGTTTACCTAAATTTTTGTCATTAAAGACTCTTATTTGAGCAACCACCACATACAACTCCTTAACCTATTACAATCCAAAACATGTATTTCTGCTGGTCAAGGATCTCTTTCAAGGCTTTCATTTCTAGAATAATATCTTAGTTTACTTAAAGTTCCCACTCTTATCTGATAACCAATACTAAACACTGAGAAAATGTTATAGGCTTGATCTTATATTTTAGTTTCAAATAATTCATGTTGTTACTATTAGGTAAATACAGCAATTAAACAAGGTGTAGTGAAGAACTTTAATCAGTGAAGAACTTAAGTTATCATTAATATTTTCAACACTTAATTTTGGGTTACTGACACATGTAATATGGTTTTCTTCAGAATGGTAACCGTTTTACAGGGCAGCTGATATATAAGTTACTGTAGCAAAGACATGGAGACAGTATATTTAAAACAGAAATTATCTGTATGGAGCAGTATCTTGATCTACCTGGACTTTTATGAATTCAAATAACATTTTCAGATTAAGAGTACAGTTACAAACTTCTTCTACATAAAAAGTTAAGGGGCGCCTGGGTGGCTCAGTCGGTTAAGCATCTGACTTCGGCTCAGGTCATGATCTCGCGGTTCGTGAGTTCAAGCCCTGCGTCGGGCTCTGTGCTGACAGCTCAGAGCCTGGAGCCTGTTTCAGATTCTGTGTCTCCCTCTCTCTCTCTGACTCTCCCCCATTCATGCTCTGTCTCTCTCTGTCTCAAA